ATTCCTTTAACTTTCACACCCTACTGTAAATGGTACTACTATCTCATAGGTGAGGTACAGAGAGGCCAGTTAGTCCAAGGCTGCACAGCCGTGAGAGGCATGGCTGGGCTTTGAACCCTGGAAGCCCACCTCCAGCCACCACATGTGCTGCTCCCAGGGACATTTCCTAAGCCCAAGGCTCACCTTGAGCTGCCTCTCTCCTTGCCTGGTGCAGAATGAGGTGCAGAACATCAAGTTCAACAGCTCGGGCCAATGCGAAGCGCCCTTGGTGCGGACCGACAACCCCAAGAGCTGGTATGAGGACGTGGAGGGCTGTGGGATCCAGTGCCAGAACCCGCTGTTCACGGAGTCAGAGCACCAGGACATGCACAGCTACATCGCCACCTTCGGCGCCGTCACGGGCCTCTGCACACTCTTCACCCTGGTCAGTGGCGGGGAGGGCGGACTGCCTGAATAAGTCTGGGCACTGTATGGGGCAGACTTGGTGGGGCCAGGGAAGGCCCCGGGGTTCAGGTAAAGGTGGTGGTGGAGGATGTCGGAGCCCAGTGACCCTTACCTTGCACAGCTGCTCTCTCTCTCTCCTAGGCCACCTTTGTGGCTGACTGGCGGAACTCCAATCGCTACCCTGCCGTCATTCTCTTCTACGTCAATGCATGTTTCTTCGTGGGCAGCATTGGCTGGCTGGCTCAGTTCATGGACGGTGCCCGCCGGGAGATTGTGTGCCGAGCTGATGGCACCATGAGGCTTGGGGAGCCCACGTAAGTATCTTGGAGACCCGGAAGAAGGGGAGGAGAACTGCAGTGTGCATTTGCCACGAAAGGGGCATGGGATTCGAAGTGTGGCTTCAGGGTAGGATTCGGCTCTGTCTTGTTATGCCCAAGGCCTCTAAGACCTTGGTTTAAGCTCCGGAATCTTCAGCATCTGTCAAATGGCCTTCTCCCAGAGCTACTTCCAGTGTGACCTGGCCACTGTGTCCAAGCCCAGACTCCCAGAAACTCTCCAGACCTTAGCAGCTCAGGGTCTGGGGACAAGGTGGAGACCTGAGTGAGGGAGCGCAGAGTGACCTCAAATGGCCCTACATGTCCACACAGCTCCAATGAGACCCTGTCCTGTGTCATCATCTTTGTCATCGTGTACTATGCCCTGATGGCTGGCGTAGTCTGGTTCGTGGTCCTCACCTATGCCTGGCATACCTCCTTCAAAGCGCTGGGCACCACCTACCAGCCTCTCTCAGGCAAGACCTCCTACTTTCACCTGCTCACGTGGTCGCTCCCTTTCGTCCTCACTGTGGCAATCCTTGCCGTGGCCCAGGTATGGTGAATGGTTAGGAGGCTGGGGACCTGAGTGGAGTGGGCATGGAGGGGAGCGACTGACCATCCCTCCTATGCTTTCTTGCCTCAGGTGGATGGGGACTCTGTGAGTGGCATCTGTTTTGTGGGCTACAAGAACTACCGATACCGTGCTGGCTTTGTACTGGCTCCGATTGGCCTGGTGCTTATTGTGGGGGGCTACTTTCTCATCCGAGGTGAGTGAGAGCCAGGCCAGAGCTATGAGGAAGTAGGAGTGAAAGCGATCAGCTCTGTTGCCTGCACACTCAGACCACAGCCAGCTCTTTTGATGCAGAGTAGAACAAATGACCCTCCGGGCTAGTGGTGGTGTACCCATGGCACGTGTGCCACGGCCATCGTTTTTACTGAAAACTCTAAAAGGTTCACCGTCACTGCTCTAGGTAGATAAAGGAGCAGGAGCTCTTGCTATGGGGTAGTACATTTATTGGCAAGAAAAGCGGACCCCTTGTTCCAGAGCCTTGGGTTGGGTTCCATCCCCTCTGGGCAGGGTACACTTGGGTGATAGACATCTGGCTAACCTACCCTGACCACATGGACCAACTTGGTCCAGCTTTTGGAGCTTGCTTTCCATCTCCTTTGTACCCACAACACACACACAGTTTTTGTAACATGCGCAGAGGTACTGGTCCCTAACTTCTTCCTCTCGATCTGCTATCTCACGGTAAGCCTTAGTATCTACTCATTTTCTTTGGCTTTTCTTTTGTTGGTTTCAGTTTCCTCCTGCTGGACTTTCTGCTGTTCAGCCTTCTTTCCTCCCATTCTGGCAGACTGTCTGGACCTCTGGCTATGTTTTACACCTGTGCTGTCCTGTAGAGTAGCCACTGCCCACATGCATTGAAACTAGTCCAGATTGAGATGTGTCATACGTGTTACACACTGCCTTTCAAAGGCTTAGCACCAAAATAATAACGGTAATGTAAAATATCTCATTAATGAGATATTTCTCATTGTTACATGGATTATGTGTTGGGATAATTATATTTAGGGTATATTAGGTTTGTTTTGTTTTTTTTAATACTGGAAATCACTTTTTATTAATTACAAATAATTTTTTCTGAAGTTCTGTTTTACTTTACCCACAAAGAGAGCTGGCCCATGGGCCAAAATCATCCTGAATTCCAAAACTAGTTAGGAATTACTGTACTGAGTAATTAATATTGTTTAACATTTATGAGCAATCACAAATCTTGTATTACCTGTTACCATTGTACTCTTTAAGAATTCTCATTGGGGTGACCTTTAGTAACAAATGGTAACTACAATGTGCAATTCCTCCTTTGCCTTTTCAAGTCTTTTTCTAACCTCTTACATTTCTATGTATTTGCAGCAAGTACAGAGGCATGACAGCTTCACCAGCTGCTGCTATCTTTGTATCCCCTTAGTGCGATTTTTTTTTCAACTTTAATTGTTTATTGGTACGTTTTAGGGATACAGTACAGTTACATTCATTGTTGGGATCTTGTGCCTCTACGTGACAGGTCTTCGTTAGGTTTATAAAACATATTGAAATTAGTTTCACTTGCTCTTTTTTAAAATGTGTCTACTAGAATATTAGAGGTTACGTTTTTATAGTTTTGTTAGACAGTGCTGTTCTTGAGTCTATGTTTTATGCTTTTTCTGTCAGAACAGCATTGATTTGGCTGCCTTTCTTAGGGACAGCTGAGCCAGGACTGAGGCTTCCTCTGTCTCCTCCACTGTGTGTGTGGCTCTGCCCCAGTGATCCCAGTCCAAGGCAGATGTGGCGCCAACCACACTCCCATTCTGTGGTGTCTCTAGTTCCCCAAGGTCTAAGTCAGCCCAGGTTGATTAAACCTAGGACTGCAGGACCGTGGGACCCTCCCCTCCCACACACATCCCCCAAGAAGTGCGGCCTGCCTTGCCAGTGTCTCAGGTTCTCCTTGTGTTCAGGAGTCATGACTCTCTTCTCCATCAAGAGCAACCACCCGGGGCTGCTGAGCGAGAAGGCGGCCAGCAAAATCAATGAGACCATGCTGCGCCTGGGTGAGTGGCTCCCAGGGGACTTAGGCCTGAGGTCCTGACCAGGCTGGGGCTCTGGGACCTCCATAAGTCGTTGGGATGTGGTAGCATGGGACAGGAGTGGGTTCTGCGTGTCAATGGTGGTGGTAGCAGCTCAAAAGAAGGGGCTTTCTCAGATGAAGAATCCAAGTTTATGCAAGGTAGCACTGCTTCCCCAGGCCCCTTCCCTCACGGGGGCCTCCCAGCACCTGCTTCAGTGCTCTCTGGCTTTGTTTTGGAGGATGCAGTTGTTGATCTGAGCTCTAGTGTGACTTGGCTGTCTTCAGATACCCCTTCCCCCTACTACATAATGTCCGTACTCAGCAACGGCCTGACTGTCCCTGTCTTCTACAGGCATTTTTGGCTTCTTGGCCTTTGGCTTTGTGCTGATCACCTTCAGCTGCCATTTTTATGACTTCTTCAACCAGGCTGAGTGGGAGCGCAGTTTCCGGGACTACGTACTGTGAGTGAAGGGCCTGGGCTTGGGGGCAGCAGTGGTGGGAGCTGAAGCCCTAGCTGGAGGGACTGCAGCCCCTCTCTTGTGCACCAGGGGTCTGTCACACCCCTGCTCAGATGATACTGATAACATCCGGGTACCCATGATAATCAGCTGTTCTGTGCTTGGCCAAACATGCAAACAGCCTTCACATCCCTCCTTTTCTCTGCCCTTCACCCACGCCCCATTGGCTGTCTGGCTGACACCTTTGCACCTGTTAAGCCATTTCAAGCTCTGGCTCCTTTGGACAGCCCCAGGTTGGCCACAGAAGTTGCACTGTCTTAATTCTGCGTATCTTCTATAGAGCTCTCTGTAGATCCTGCACCTCTGCATGAGGTTGACAGGCTGTTCATGTTTGCTAATTTTCCTTGTGCTTTTTTATGTTCCAATGAGGATGAATTAGAGAGTGGAGAATCTCCATTGCCAAAAGAGATGCAGCGTCCACTCTTTCAGGGACAACAGTTAAAATACACAAGAAAGTAGATACTGCCCGAACTGCTTCAAGCTCATTTTTTGTTTGTTTATTTTTGTGGGGTTTTTTTCCCCCTTTTCAGTACTGGGGATTGGACCCACTGCCTTCACACCGAAGTACATCCACAGTCCTTTTTAAATTTGTATCTTGAGACTGGGTCTTGCTAAATCACTGAGGTGCCCAGGGCTCTAACTTATGATCCTCTTGCCTTAGCCTCCTAGAGTACTGGGATTACAGGCCTGTACCACCAGGCCCAACTTGCTTCAAGCTCCTTCTTGAAGGTACCAGCTTTCAGTCTGGGTAGCTTTAACCCACAGTGATACCTGGGTCCCTGCCCCAGAAGTTTGATGGCATTTTCTGGGATGGATCCCAGATAGCTGTAGCTTGTAAGAGTGCTCCAGGTGATGACAGAGAGCACCTTGAGGGCCTGGGGATGTAGCTGAGTGGTAGATGACTTGCTTAGCATGCATGAGGCCCTGCTCCCATCCCAGGACCAAAGCAAAGAGCCAGTACAAAGGGGCTCAGCTCTTTCTAGTCTTTGGGTTGATAGTCTGAGTACCTAACTGTTGGATGCAAAGGCTTTACCTGTTGATCCTCCCGCACCATAGATGCCAGGCCAACGTGACCATTGGGCTGCCCACCAAGAAGCCCATCCCTGACTGTGAGATCAAGAATCGCCCAAGCCTCCTGGTGGAGAAGATCAACCTGTTTGCCATGTTTGGAACTGGCATTGCCATGAGCACCTGGGTTTGGACTAAAGCCACTCTGCTCATCTGGAGGCGTACCTGGTGCAGGTAGAGTCAGTAGCCAGCTCATCCTGTTGTTCCAATCTTACTCTCAGCCTCAGGTCCCCACCTTTAGCTTTTGAATCCTATTCCTGCACATAGCCTCTGGCTGCAATGTCTTTGGCCTTCTCCTTGGCTCACCACTGCCCCCTGGTGACACCTCCTATCCCTGGAAGGCATGGGCCTGGGCCCAGTGCTACATCAGAGGCATCTTCTGTAAAGGTGATTTGAGGGCAGGGCGCATAAGAGGCCCGTATCCCAGGCTCACTTTGTCACAGAACTGGCTGGTACTCCTCAGAGTCCTCGAGGCACCTGAGGCATTGTGTTGCCTTCTTCCCTGGAGGAAATGGAATTGCTGCTCTTCCACTTCCTGTCCTTACCCTTTCTGCTCTTAGGCTGACTGGGCAGAGTGATGATGAGCCCAAAAGGATCAAGAAGAGCAAGATGATTGCCAAAGCCTTCTCCAAGCGGCGTGAGCTACTGCAGAACCCAGGCCAGGAGCTCTCCTTCAGCATGCACACAGTGTCCCACGACGGGCCTGTGGGTGAGCCTCAGCCCTGCCCGCTCTCCCAGCTGCCTGACTCTTGCAGCGCCGAGCCCTGTGCCTTCCAGGACACGTGATTGTTTGGCAGATTCCACCTCTTCCTCATAGTCTCATTCTTCTCCGGCCCCTGATCTGCTCGCTGGGGGCCCCTGCCCACGGGCCTGCTTGCCAGTGCTCAGTTCTGGGAAGCTCCTCCCTCTCCCTTCCTCTGCCTGCTCCAATTTCTCTCCTTGGGTCAGAGCAAGTCAGGGTTCCAAGTCTGCACTTCTGAGCTCTAGTTAGGCTCTTCAGGGATCTGAGGCTGCTCCTCTAAGATTCTGAATGGTAGAGATCATGGTGCTTACAGAGGGAGCTTTCTCTGCTAGGAGGCACAGGAGGGACCGGCTGGGGGAAGATGATGCTGCTGCTTAAGGTAGGAGTCACCAAGAGAAACTAAGAACTCATCCCTCTTTCTTTCCTTCTGTCCCCCAAGCGGGTTTGGCTTTTGACCTCAATGAGCCCTCTGCCGATGTCTCCTCTGCCTGGGCCCAGCATGTCACCAAGATGGTGGCTCGGAGGGGAGCCATATTGCCCCAGGATGTGTCCGTCACCCCAGTGGCAACTCCAGGTATGAGGGTTCTGTAGGAAGCTGGGGGGTATGTAGAGACTAGGGCTCCTGGGGCTGAAGTACTTATTAGGGGCTACCAGAGGGAGAGAAAGAAGGAAAGCCCTAGAGCAGTGGTGGTAAAACTGTATGTTGCAGCAAGTGGTTTGTTATCTTTGAGAGCTCTCAAAGGTTCCCCATCACTGCCCTAGTGGATCTGAAGTGAAGGGCTAAGGAGTTAGAGTGGTGGGTCCCAAACTCAAGCATAGGGCCTCTGAGGAAGGAAGCACGGTGGGGACAGACCCAGGGGCCAGGCTGTGTTCTCTCTCCTATCAGTGCCACCAGAAGAACAAGCCAACCTGTGGCTGGTTGAGGCAGAGATCTCCCCAGAGCTAGAGAAGCGCCTGGGCCGGAAGAAGAAGAGGAGGAAGAGGAAAAAGGAAGTGTGCCCCCTGGGGGCGGCCCCTGATCTTCACCATGCCGCCCCTGCCCCTGCTCCTGCCTCTGCCACCAGTGCCATTCCTCGGCTGCCTCAGCTGCCCCGGCAGAAGTGCCTAGTGGCTGCGGGTGCCTGGGGAGCTGGAGAATCCTGCTGCCAGGGTGCCTGGACCCTGGTCTCTAACCCCTTCTGCCCAGAGCCCAGCCCCCATCAGGATCCATTTCTCTCCAGCACCCAAGCCCCCATGGCCTGGGCTCATGGCCGCCGCCAAGGACTGGGGCCCATTCACTCTCGCACCAACCTGATGGAAGCGGAGCTTATGGACGCAGACTCAGACTTCTGAGCCTGCAGAGAAAGGACCTGGGATAGGAAAGAGGAACAAATACCACCAAGACTCTTCTCTGAGTGCATCTGTGGGAGCTTGTCTTCCGCAGAACCCGTGGGCCCTCCCCTGAGAGTTCTATGTGTCCGGCTCAAAGCAATGGGACTGTGCGAAAGAGCTGAACATCTCCATGGGTGACTTCACCCAGGGGTAGGGCCCTAGAGCTCAGGGTCCTCATTTCTGCCTTAACGGCTGGAGTCTGGCTGGCAACACTGATCTCCAGCAGAGCTTAGGGTGGGGCAGTAATGGGAGAGTCTGGGGTGACCGTACCCAGAGTGGGCTATGGTAGCTAGGGAGACAGCCAGAAGAGGGATACTTGCCCTTTTCTGTGCCTATGGGTACACTTTCCTGGTACTGTCAGACCAAAAGCGTTTATTGTGTACTTTGTCTAAAGTGGGGTAAGGGCTCCCTTCTCTCTCTTCCAGATGGTTGTGGGGCCCAAAATGCCTACTGCTATAGGGCTATAATCTGTCTGAACAGGAAGCTCTACCCAAACCTGTCTTCTATTCTCCAGCACCCTCCGTTCCCTTTCCTATCTCACTGCCACCAAGCCAACCTCTTGCTGCTTCCTGTTTGTTGATTAGGCCCCAAATTACAGTATACACACACACACACACACACACACACACACACGCACGCTGAGCTCCATCTTCAGGTGAGAGATTGGCTCAGCTCTAGAGCCTTGACCTGCAAAGGGCTAGAAGCAGTGTGACAGGCGCATCCAGGCCCTTGAGAGACGTGCCATCTCTGGACCCTCTGACTAGAGGGACTACCCTAGGAAGCTGTTGTAGCTGCAGCCAGGAAGTAAAGCTTCTCAACTTTCATGACAGCAGAAGAGGAGATTCACCCTCATGACCTCCAGCCATGTCCCTCGCACCCCATATTCAAGAACCAGACATCAGGAAGTCTTAGAAGCTGGTTGGGTTCCACATCAGGGATAGGGATAGGAAGAAGAAATATAAACACTAAATAAAAGGTTTTTGTATAAATTGGGGTGTGTTTCTTTTCCTTAACCCAAACTGTTTATCTGGTATCTTGTTTTCCACATCCTTTGGAGACATTCTTTTGTTTGTTTTTGGTTTTTTGAGACAGGGTCTCACTATGTAGTTGAGACTGACCTAGAACTCACTATGTAGCTCAGGCTGGTCTCGAACTCACAGTGATCCTCCTGCCTCAGCCTCCCTAGTGCTGGGATTACAGGCATGAGCCACCACGCCCTGCTGGAGCTATTCTTAAAGACTAAACTTGGTGCTAATGAGGCCAGGCTGAAGTCAACTGAATGTGCTGTTGGTTCTGTGTGGACAAAAGCTGCTCCACACAGCACTGCACAGCCTGCAGTTTGCCCCTGGAGTGAGTGTCTCCCTGACGCTCCCTGGAAGTGAGCTTGGTTCCTTGTGCTGGCCCAGCCCCAACCTCAGGGAGCCTCACGCCCTCTATTGTTTTCATCCCCTAGCCTGTTTGTGGAACAAGGTTCAGGGGCCCAAACTGGGAGGGCAAGGCGCAGAACCACCACGCAGACTCCGGGGAGGTTTCTGGAAGGCTTCTGCTTTGTTCAGGAAATGCACAGGCTTATATAGGGTAAGGCGGGGGTGGAGTCGGGATATTTGGCGCATCGTTATTGGCCACATGTTAGTCTTTGGATTGCATGCTTTAGGGGCTGAGACGAATGGAGTCAGGACTTCAGAGGTGTTTGAGAGGAACAGTTCATCCGTCTAAGGTCAGATCTCTACACACCTGAGGGGGCGGATTATTCCAGCCCTAATAGGCCTCGGAGTTTTCTCACAAAAGATGGGTGTTGCACTCCCGACTCACCCAGACGTTAATCTGATCCTCACTCTATCAGGGATGCCAGTCGGGCTGAGAGCTTTCTGACCCACAGGGTCCTCCCCTGGCCAGTTGGGAATTCAAAACCCGGAGCCTGCTAGTCTCACTTCCTCCAACTGTATCAATGGGAGACTGGGAATAGGGTTATAGGAGCTCGGTGTTCTGTGGCAAGGTCTGTGGGGAAAAGTGGGTAGGAAGGACCAACAGACTTGCAGGCCATTTTGGAGTATTGGCCAGTCTTGTTTGGAGAGGACTCCTTTGTATTGCTGCTTGTGTTACAGGTATGCACTGACCAGAGACCTAAGACTGTGCTGATTCTATGCTGGGCGTTTTACACATACATTGTACTAATGACAGCTAACTGAATGTGGGTTAGGCACTCTCCTGAGCACTTCACAGGCATTAGCTACCATCTCTCACAGCAAACCTGAGGCTCTAACAACCATCAAGACGCTGAGGCAATCCCAGTACTCAGCTGGCTGAGGCAGGGGAATAGCTGGGAGTTCAAGGCCAACCTGGGCTACATAGTTCAAGGCCAGCCTGAACTACATAATGAGACCCTTTCTCAACCTCTTCCCCCACAAGAGACAGAGAGGTTCAATGGTTTGCGTAGGCAGTAATGCTGTGATTCAGTCAGAGCCCTTGGCTCCCTGGCCTTGGCCACTGACAATGATCCAATCCGAGGTGCTGGCTTTAGGTGGAACAAGCTCAGCAAAGCAGAATGCCTTGCACACATCCCTGAAGCTAGTAACTGACAGACACTGGGCCCAGGATCTTCCTGACTGAAGAGAAGGCTCTCTCCGGTCTCATTTCTGACCTTCAAAAGTTCCCTTCCTACGCAGATTTCGTACTTTGTGTTCCCTCTTGCTACGGGTATCCCCTTGTGCTTGCTTGTTCTGTTCACTATTAGAATTATTTTTATCTTCAGCCGGGCGTGGTGGTGCATGCCTGTAATCCCAGCACTTGGGAGGCCGAGGCAGGAGGATCACTGTGAGTTCGAGACCAGTCTGGGCTACATAGTGAGTTCCAGGTCAGTCTCAACTACATACTGAGACCCTGTCTCAAAAAACCACCCCCCCAAAACAATTTTTATCAAAAGCATGATAGCTATTTCTTAGCTTTTATCACAGCAGTAAAATAAAAACAAGTGTGCTTAAAGATCTTTTTGAAAAAAATCTTTTTGAAAATAAAGGAAAGTGGTACAATTTTCTTTTCATCTCTGAGGATATTCAACTACTAGTGTCTCCCTCCAGGGTCGCAAGGTTCTATCTGAGCCTTAAACAAGGAGACCTTTCTCAGAATGGTTGCCAGAGCAGATCGTGACCACCAGAGGGCAGCTGAGTCCGCCTTTCATGAATTCAGGCTGCGGCTGGATGGACCCCTGACACCTCCCCAAGACCAAGAAGTCTTGCAGGATTTTCAGGGGAGCCCCAGATCTGGGGATTGTGCAGCAATGGTCACTCTCTACCCAGAGCTTCTCTAGATCCCTGAAGAAATCCCTCAGGGCCAAGAGGAGCCGGGTTTGAGGCCTCCCTGTTGCCACTGGTCTGAGATTTTCCTCTCTGGCAGGCTCGTCCCTCAGGAACTCCTTTGGGTCCCCTTTCCACTTTCAGGAAGTCAGGCTGAAATGGCACTCGGAGGGCAGGCAGATCAAGGAAGAGTGGCACACAGAATTGAAGGTAAAGGCAGGTTTATTTGCCAGCGGGCCACCGGAAGTCACTAGAGTTTCAGCCCGGCTTCTCCCTTTGTTCTCATATTTATCAGTTCGTTAGCTAGGGTGGGGGAGCAAGCAGAATTTTTCTGAAGCAGAATTTAGCAAAGGCCAGGGAGGTGGAGGTAAGTATTGTTTTTACAATTTATCTTTAAAACATAAGGTGGTAGACAGCTGTGTTTTAGCACTTCATATTCCAGGCAGTGACCTTCATGGGTTTAGAGGAGGGTCAAGCCTTAGATGGTCAGCCTCTTTTCTGTCTTTTGTTTTCTCCATTTCAAGGTGCCCAGTGCCCCGGGTTCTGAGGCCAACCTCTGTTGGTCCGGGCTTCCTTAAAGCAGTCTGTGCACTGCCCAGCTCTTCGGCTACTTTTGTTATTAAGATAAGAAAATGGAAAGAAAAAAAAAATAGAGAAAAGCACAAAAATGACCACATGAACACCATATTTCCACCACTCAGAATTGACAACTCTTAAGAGTTATTTTATCTAATTTTCTTCCAGCCTATTTTTTAATGAATAAAGTGTAACAGATTTAGCTGAAATGCCTTTTAACCAACACCCCATTCTATACCCTCCCTCCCCCACATTCCCACTCCTCGAGAGAAAAGTAACTATTTTCTTTTCATCCATTTCTTATATGCACAAGCAGTCATAAATCCATAAACAATTTACGTACTTCTTTTGGTTGCTTATTTATTTACTTGAAGTAGTGTCTCATGCATGCGTGCTAGGCAAGTGCTCTATCACTCTTGTATCTCTGGCTTTTTTTATATTTTTACTTTGAGACAAGATCTCACTAATTTGCCCAGGCTGGCTTTGAACTCATAATCCTTTTGTCTCAGCCTCCTGAATAGTTACGGTTACAGGTGTGTAACTGTGTCCAACATAATGTTTTTATTTTCACCTAAATTATGCATGATATAAATTGAAACGTCAAATCGTTTAAAGTCCCCACCACCACCACACACACACACCTTGTGCTGTGGATCGAACTCAAAGCTTCACGCTAAGCACATGCTCTGCCACAGAATTATATCCCACTCCTGCTGTGTAAATCTTACTACTTAAAACAGCTGTCTTGAGGGGCGTGGTGGTACACACCTGTAATTCCAGCACTTGGGAGGTTGAGGCAGGAGGATCGCTGTGAGTTGGAGGGCAGGCTACATAGTGAGTTCAAGGCCAGCCTGAACTACACAGTGACACCCTGTCTCAGAAACAAAAACAAAATAAATAACATGGCTGTCTTCTTATCCCACCCACCTCACCTATTTCATCTTTTTGTTTGTTTGTTTTGTTTTGTTTTAGGGAATAGAATTTGGGTCCTTACGCTGTGAGGCAGGTAGCACCCCTGAGCTATATCCCCAGACCTATTTCATCATTTTCTATCCTGAGAGCCAACCGATTTATTTTAGATAATCCTTATGATACTTATTTCTGTCTGAATCACATGGTTACAATGGCACCTCTTGAGTGTCTGGTTTGGGCATTATCATTTGATTTCCTAATACAGAGAATAAGGATTTAGTTTTATTGTTTTTTTTTTTGTCTTTGCCATACTGGAAACTGAACCCAGAGCCTTTGCACTGAGCTACATTCCCCAGCCCTTTTACTTATTATTGTGGAATAAGGTCTCATTAAACCACTTAAATTTCCCAGGCTGTGCTGTGCTTGAACTCAGGATCCTCCTGCCTCAGCCTTCCAGAGTGCTGGGATTATAGGTACTTAGCCACCACACTAGGGAAGGGATACAGTTCCTGGGATGGGATAGTAGGAGCAGCTAAAGGAGGAGGTAGTCCTAGCAGTTTTGAAAGCTGGAAAGTCAGCAGACTTGCAAAAGCTGAAGTTTTAGCAAGCAGCAAGGAATGCTGTCATTGTAGCACCCCCAAAAGGCTCTGTATCGGTGGTAACAGGAACTTCAGAGGTGGATCCCAAAGCAGGACTGATCCCCCACCCACTGCCCGGTAGATGACTGCTCTTGGCCAACTTGGCTGATTGTCATTTTATTCTCTGGAGAAGGTAGAAGGTCTGTAGTATTTAGAGACATTGTCTTCTAACTGCCAGTACTGAAGTTCAATATCTTTTTGACTGTAGCTTTAAAAAAAAAGTCAATCTCTTGGCCCACTCCAGACATTTGAAGGATCTTGTCTTTGCCCCCAGAGTTTTGAAATTTTACAGCAATGTATATTAACACACATCTATTTTCATCCCTTGGACAGTCTACTTAATGGTTCCTTTCATTCTGGAAATTCTCATCTTCAGTTCTAGGAAATGTTTTTGTTTTTTTTTTTACTTTTCCTCCTACATTTTGTTATTTGCTTTTGACACTTGTGTTATGCAGATACTGGACTTTCTGGATTATTGTACTGCTAGTTTACTTTATTATTTTTTTCCTTGCTTTCAAATTAATGAATTCTCTTGCTTAGGATCAAACCCAGGGCCTTGTGCATATTAGGCAATTGCTACCATTGAGCTACACCTCTATTCCTAGGTTTGAAATTTAAAGAAAAAAATATTGAAAGCTTGAAAAATAATTCCTAAAAGACTGCCTTTTTCCAGCTGGGTGTCTATAGTCCCAGCAATTGATGAGGCTGAGGCAGGAGGACAGTGTTAAGGCTTGCATCTAGATGTTCCCCCAAAGCCTCATGAGGTTACAGGTGGGGCTTTCTGCAGGTGGCTGGATCTGGGGTGTGTGTTGCTGGGATCAAGGATGTGATGTTAGGATTGAATCATGGGTACAGTGATAGGGTTAAGGCTACCCTACCCTGGGTGTTAGTGCTACCCACCCTACGGGTGAATAGTCTGGCTAAGATACAAGGGACAGAAAGAGGGTGACTGTTGCTTGCTGCCTTCTGCCTGCCATGCACTCTTTCTCCCCTGCCATGCCCCGCTGCCATGCTACCTTTCCTTGGAGCCAGCTGATAATGGACTGAATCCTCTACAAATTGTGAGCTGAAATAAACCTTTCCTCCTTTAACTTGGGTATCAGGTATTTTGTCTGAGCAATGAGAAGAGTAACTAAGGCAGTAAGTTTGAGACCAGCCAGGGCAATGTAGTAACTTAGTGAGACTCTGTCTCAAAATAAAAAATCCAAAGGCCCAGGGTCAATTTCCAGTACTATATATATAAAAAAAAAGCCTTTTCCATAAATGTATACTCAATGTATTACATCATATTAAAATGTGCAATAGACCTAATTATAAAAACAATGAAACAAGCCACTGTTAAACAATCTGAGCAAAACCAAACACATCTTTCCTATTTTAAATTTTATTGAGGCTTTAAAAATTCTACTAGCATACTTTCATCTCAAAGTTATCCTGAAGGTTTACTCTTTGAAACAGTATGTTCTTTCACAAATACAATATTGTGAGTCTCCAAGAATATTGATAATTTTTTAAAACGTTTTTCCCCCCGGTGCTGGAAATCTAATCCTGGGCCTTCTGTATGCTAGGCAAGCACTATACCATTGAGCCATATCCCTGACCTGTCTCACTTTCTGAAAGCTCAGTTGTGTTTCCTCCAAGTTACTTTTTCTGCTGCCTATATTGGTCTCTGTCTTTCCTATTACAGATTTTCTTCCTATATCAGGTGGCTTTTGTAAGAGTGCTGGGCCCATTCCCTTGGGAGATCTCTCAATATTCGTATTTTTGTTTTTTCTTAGAATGGAGAAATACCTCAGAGTTCTTCAATATCCTGCATGGAAAATGTACTCTTATCTGCCACAGTTCTGGAAGCTGAATGAACCAGATAAAGGGAAAAGACATATAGTCTAAATTTTAGCAAAAGTCAATATACTTGTATTTGATCATGTTTCCAGTACAACTATACCTGCATCCCTCGACAACAAAGCAGAATAGGATGGAGCTAAAAACGGGGGAAGTGTATGACCTGACTGTTGGACCCAGGCAGTCCTGGTACCTGGGATGAATATCCATCTCTTTCCAATGTTCCTGATATTTTATAATGTTCCCACTTGAGAATTCATTCACCTTCAGTAATCAATTCTAGAGGCAGTGAAGGTAGGCAGCTGCTACCCATGAGGTCCTACCCATGCCAGGTGGCTGTACTGCAGCTCCCTTGTGAATTAAGGGGAAGAATGAAATCAGTTACAGAGCTGTTAATCTCTGCCCCAACAGCTGGAAGATGAAGCATTAGGCTGTTTCTTTATAACAGGAAGGAAATTCTGAAAGCCAGAAATGTGAAGAGAAAGCATAAGAAGCTGACATGTCTGGTGGACTTGTTGGCTTTGTGAAAATGATCAGATGCCTCCCAACACATAGTAAGGCAGATGTGCAGACAGGAAATGAAAGCTTCCATTCAAGGTAGGACAATTCCACCTCATAAACAGATTTCCACGATTATAGTAGCACAGGAAAGGAAATAAAGGCAGGTGATTCCTCCCTTTCTCCTCTTGCTAGTGGGGGAAAAAATACTCCAATAACTGGCTGTTCAACAGCCTATTTGAGTTGTCAGAGCTGTCACTTTGAAGAGCTATAAAGTATAAGGTCCCTTTGCCTCACTTCTAAGAATAAAGAGAAAAAAAACCTATGTTAAAATCTGTCAAAAGCCACCTGCATTTTAATGTATTCGTTTTTTTCCTTAATTATTTACATAAACTCTTAGGGGTGGGTATGGTGGCATATGTCTGTAATTCTAACTAGTTGGGAAACTGAGGCAGGAGGATAAGTTCGAGGCCAACTTGGGCAATTTAGTTAGCTCCTGTCTCAAAATAAAAAGGGCTAGGGATGTAGCTCACAACTCTTGAGTTCTGACCCTAGTAAAATAATGATAATAATAATAATAATAATAATAATAATAATAATACAAAACCCTTAAGAAAATGAAATTTCGCCTTTTATTATTTATTTATTTTCTTTCAATACTGGGAATGGAGCTAAGAGCCTTGCACTTGACAGGCAGGTACAATGCCAATGAGCTACATCCCCAGTCCTCTTGCCTTTTAGCTCCATTTAAAAAATCATGTGCATTTTAAAAAACTATGTATTTATTCTCCCGTATCATTAAAAAACGTTGTCAGAAAACAATTTTGTTTTGGGAAGTGGGTCTTGTTTTGTTCCCCGGGCTGGCCTCCAACTCCTTCACTCAAGTGATCTAACCGCCTCAGTTTCCCAAGTGTTGAGACTACTATAGGCACATGACAGCACTCCTGACTGGAAAACAATTTTTAAAGGTTGTTAACCATTGCTCTATTGTTTGACGTATTTCAGATAACATTTTGTTATTTAAAATAAAGCTACTGGGCCGGGGATTTAGCTCAGTGGTTCGGCCACCTGCCTCACAAAAGCGCAAGGACCCGAGTTCGATCTTCGGTACCAAAAATAAAATAAAATAAAGCTACCACACACACTACACATATATTTGAGCTTTGCACCTTCTAAAATAAGTATTAGGTACAAAGAAAGTAAAATCACTTAAAACATAGCGTTTAGGGAAATCACTATTTGGATTTTGGTTCACATTCCTCTGTTACATACAAATCTGAATTTCTGATTATTTCCCTAAGAGAATTACTAAAAGGTTTTGCCTCCTTTCAGGCAGTGTATTAACTTCTCTGCAGTGAAATTTTGACCTAGTGCACCCTTCTTTAGGGATTTTTAGCTTCTAAATTCAGAAGGTACGAGAAATCGCCATAGCAAGCAAGGTCCTACTTTATCCCTTTTAAAAACCAAGCCACTGAAGTTCGAAAGCGAGTTAAGGTTGCAGTTCAGGGAGAAAAGCCCAAGCCTTCCAACCTAGTGCAGCACTCTCCTCACGTGACGCACCGCTGTTCCTTTAAAGGCTGCCCGCCCACGTGATCCCAGAAGTGCTCACAGAGGAAATGCACGCTGTCGAGAGAGTCATTTCTCCACTTTCTCTGAGGTTTCTGGTGTTTCCTACCCAGAAGCCGCAACTCCTTTGGGAATTGTCTTTCTCATCCTCTCCGCCCATCACCCACCCTCATTCCTTTCTGTTAGTTTCGGACCCTAGAATTCCCTCTCCGCGACAGAACTCCACTTTCCGGAGGAAGGCCAAGGGACTACAGTTCCCAGAAGCCCCTTGCGGTCCGCCCCCGCGCGCAGTGCAAGTCGGGGCCTGAGGTCCCACGGGCTTCGCGCTCCTTGCCGCCTAGAGCAAGCTCACTACAAGTTCCGTGGCGCCTCGTGCGGGCGGGACCGGGGTTGGGCGGGGCTGGGGGGGACAGGGGCCGGGC